TTTTTTGTGGTTGAAAATGAAGGAAAAGTTATTGATGTGATGGAAAATATTATTTTATTGATGAATGTGTGGTTGAAAATTAGTAGAAGAATGAGAATGAAAAAAAGAATGGTTACCAAACGGTGCCTAAATATTTGAAAATTACAAAAGAGCATTCTTCGACAAAAATCAAGAAAATTCACAAATAAAAAATATATACATTTCTGCAATAAAATAATTAACTCTTAAATTGAAAGAAAATTCTTACATTTTAACCATATATTTTTCAAAAAAATCGCCATTATTAAATATATTCTCACACAAATAAGACTCGAACGTACTCTAAAATTAGTGTACAAGAAATTAGTGCTATTCGTGTTAGTAATTTGCATGGACACTGGGTTATAATACTTGCACGGGCTTTTGTTACTATATACTTCGGCTGATTATATAGACTAGAGGTTGTTGAGCTCAAAGTCTAAAACTAATAAACAAATTGGAGGCATTTATACATAATTATCAATCATATCTGTCAAATATTGATATAGAGATGGTAACATAATGGGTTCTTCATTATCATTTCCACCTGTTGGGTATTTTTTGAGATTTCGAGAAAGTTGCTCCTTGTAGGGCACGGTATGCTAAAAGTTGTAAGCTGTGTTTGGATGAGGGTTATTATCTATCGTCGACCTTTATTTTAGAGTCAATTGGGTAACATGCGAGACAGTAGTTTACCCCGTGGCAGATGTCAATGATTTGAGTCTGCTTATCTCCAACTTATGAACTTTACCGATGTAAAGTTATATGATAGCACTCATTTTTTTTAATTCGACAGTTCGATCTATAATCATTTATACATAAATTAAACTTATTTACCAAAAAAAAATTGACACCCTTTGTTGACCTATATTTACTTGGGAGTGGGATCCTTGTTAATAAAAACAAGAAGTCCAAGAAATCCTCCCATCTATTGTGAGATTTTGTCAGCAAATGTGTCAAACTCTCCCTAACAATATAGCAGAATTGCTTATACATAATTATTAAACATATTTGTCCTAGATATTGACATAAAGATGGTAACAGATTGGGTTCTTCATTATCATTCCCGTTGGGTATTTTTTGAAAGGCAAGATGGAAATTAAAAAAAATATTATTTACTGTTCCATTTAATTTTATATTTATTTATTTGAACACTATTTAAATTGAAAATCATAAAACTATAATTAAATATAAAGATTCGATGCGGGTTTGAAAAATTTGGGACTCACATGCGAATTATATTGTCATCCCTAAATATGACTTAGTGAAGTCACTATCTTTGAGTTCCATTAAATTAAATTTTGGGAAAAATGTATTTTCTAATAGTGATTTTTTTTTTTTAAAGAATGTGTGGTTAAAAAAGAAGGAATTTTTTTGGATTTGCGTTTAATATTTTCTATTGAAAAATATGTGATTGAAAAGAAGAGAGAGGGAAATGCATTTTGAAATAGACAGAGCCCAAACATGAGCTAAATTTTTATTTTCATTTTTTTTACTTAAAATTATAGGTTGGCGAGCGATTCATGTCACTTAACACCCCTAAATAGCACATAATTATCTGTTATAACATAATATGCAACACGTCGAAGTATCATAATTTTACAACATTTCAGGGACAATTCAAAGAAATGTTTTCACTTTCTTTTCATACTAAGAGAAAAAAATTAAAAATAATAAAACCTAACTAGTAACTTCACAAACTAATAGTTACCTTCTTATGTTTGCACCTAGAAATGCAAGTGAAAAAAACAAAGCACTTCTCTTAACACTTTAGGATGTTAGATTGGATTACTGTAAACCTTTGACTGGACCATGCCCATATGGCAAATTGGGTGGATGGCTATGCTGTACCTAAATTGCCCAACTAGAATAAATTATTATAAGAGCATGGTGATTGAGAAAGTCAATATTCAAAGTACAATAGATATAGAGGAAATTGCACATGTCACTTTTTGGTTTTATTTTAAAAAATGTCACTTTTAATAATCTTTTCAAAAACATCAATTTTAGACTTTTTTTTCCCCCTGTAGATAATTTAAATCCCTTATATATTTGTAATTAATGTTTGATGTGATTAAATGAAAAAAAAAATGTACAAAATAATATACAAACATCACATCGAACCCACCTAAACCACACCCATTCTCTCCACTTTCTAAACTTAACTCAAAAACAACATTCAGGACTTGTTTGGTAACACTAAAAATCCAATTAAAATTGAAAATATAGTCGTTATTGGGTCCAACCCGTCTAATAAAAGTCAACAATAACGGCTAGTTTTTCAATTTTAATCCGATTTTAATCTCTACCAAACACACTCTAATAACCAAAGAAGATTCATAACCGCAAAGGCGATAAATTGAAAATATAGTCGTTATTGGGTCCAACCCGTCTAATAAAAGTCAACAATAACGGCTAATTTTTCAATTTTAATCCGATTTTAATCTCTACCAAACACACTCTCAAATTATTTCCAAAAAATTGAAAGAAATATCTCATGTCCTCTACGAGAATTTGTGAGAGAAATCCCATTTTCGACATTTTTTGGAGATATTTTTCTTCTTGATATTTTTTCTAGGTTTGGGTTTTCTCTATAATTCCTTCATCTATGATTTTTTTTCCTTTTTTTTTTGGGTCGAAAAAAATTGTTTTTTTGTTCTCTTTGCATTTTTTTGGGGAATGTTTGGTTACTGGAAAATGCGGGATATAAGAAATGAAGAAATAAATTCAATATTTAAGAATTCATTTTCAAATTTCAGGATTTTCAGAAATATTTGGATAGATTTAAAAATCTGTTATTTGCCCTTTTCTTTGGGCGTCTCGGAAAACAGAAATTTTGTGTCTGGAATTAATTTTGAAAATTTTATTTCGATAATTTAGTTGTGTTCATTGTTTCAAAAAAAAAAAAAAACGAAGTGAAGTCGCCAACTAT